CACACACACACACACACACACACACACACACACACACACACACACACTCCTCCACAGCAGTTGTACATTATGGAGTGGTAACCAGGCAGCATCTAATTGCAATAATTGGAAGAATGTACCGAGCGGCCTGTTTGAACACCTGTTAGCACTGAATTTCTCTCATGGCTACAGATTGCATGTGCTGTGTCACACCATTTGGTGCACTTGTGTGTGTGCGCGTGTGTGTACATGTGGGGGTGTATGTATGTATCTCTGTTGGAGCCTCAGATTGGAGGGGGGGGGGGATCCTGGCTGCGCTCCAGTTTCCATCCTGACACCTCAGACCCTGCCAGAAGGAGGCTGCCTGTCACTGACACATCCCGAGGAGATTCACCCAGAATAATTTGTGATTTTAACAAAAAAAAAAAGAAATGAATAATGTGCATGATACATCTTGGCCTTCACACTTCTCATGCTGTCATCACTAGTGTCCTTTAGGTTTTTTTTTATGTGGGGGGGGGGGGGGGTTTCATTTGATCAGCTATAACGTACTGAAATAACACATCAAGGGTTCAGTTTGTTGGAGAAGATAAAGTGAGCCTGTGTGTGTGCGTGTTTTGCTAATGTTTGAGATTCAGCCGGTGTAACTCCCTTCTCCTGTCTTGCTGGGGGTCATCTGGACAGATGTGTGGAGCTGTCCATTGCTCCGGTGCTGAAATTTCTATTATGCCATGTTTTTTTTCTTTTAACACACACTTTTCTTTTCCCGCTGTAATTTTACCACAGTATTATTTAAAAATTTCAAAAATTCTAGGACAAGACTCCACGCGAGAAAAAAACTATTAAAAGTGAAGTCTTGTATGGAGGACCCGAGCTTTTCTAATTTATTTTTAACTGCATGTTCACAGCTGCTGCACACTTTAAACCCCTTAAAATAAATCTCTCTTTCTCTCTCTCTCTCTCTCTTTATGTGCCCAAACTACAGGAGACAATCTATTGATTCAGTCAACATTGAGCTGTTGTCATTTGACCCCATGGTTGCCCAAACAGGCTGTGAGGCGGAGTGTGTGGAGGGGAGATGCAGATAATCCATCGGGAGGGACCGACGGCGGGGACCACGCAGGCTGCTCTGTCTGCAGGGGAGCCAAGAAGAAGAAGAACCCCCCCTCCACCTCAATCTAATTATGCTGGGATTAACGTTAATTGGGGGCACCGTCGTCTCGAGATCAATACAGGCGCGTAACACCGGGCGCGACATTGACTTTTTAAAATGTCTTTATTTTTGGAAACGTGTGCAGAGGTCGCTCCCCTGTTTGTTACTCTAACGCGTATAGACTACGCGACTTGGAAGTATCGGTGTGTTCACGTACCTGTTGATATCCAGGTCAGTCGGCGCCGCGTGCTGCGTGCGTCCTCGTCGTCATCCCATCTAGAGCACGAGGAAGGAAACAAGAGGATCAGGCAGGGAAAGATGACCGTATTTTCTCTTTTTACCTAAATCCTCACTGAAACTGTGTTGTTTCTGCTTCCCTGCTTCCCGTTTATTATCTCTATTCCAACAGTTTACCAAACGCTATAGCGCGCTGCTCCCCTACAACCCCTCTCCTCCTCCTCCTCTTCCTCCTCTGTTTCGAGGTCCGTTTCTTTCCTAACACGCGCTCACCTGGCTGCTGTCGGTCCGGCTCCGCTGCTGCGCTCCGCCGCCGCCGCCGTGCCGGATGGAGAGATGGGGGAAGTGTGGTGCGTTTGAATCAGAGAGCAAATCCTCTGGTGCGCTGCTGCCTCCTCCTTTAAAAAGCCTCCACTGGTCCAATAGGAGGTCTGTCAGCCTGATGGGACCTGACGTCACCCAAACAACCCCCCTTCCCTCCCCTCCTCCTCGACACCCATCCCCCCCACCCCACCCACACACACACTCGTTTTGAACTATAGGAGAAATTATATTTGCGTTATTTCCTCGACATACAAGAAAAACAACACTGAGGCATTCGAGTCTCGGTGAAGATTTTAGTGTAAGTGCTCAGCTGTGTTGTATTTTTTTTTCCTGCTTTTATTTTATTTTTCATTTCAGAGATAAAAAAAAGAAATCAGTGGCAGTGCTGGGTAATTTTCCACAAGAACATAGGGCAAAAGATGTTGAAGCAAGACGATCTGGAGAACACGTTGCATGCTTCACAGCTTCATGATGTCCGTTGACGAAGTGAATCCACCATTACCAATATAAGTCACAACAGGAAGACAAGCAGACAAAGAGAGGCAGGTGAGTCCCAGATGTGAGACATGTAAATTGTGCAATAGGCTGCAGCTCAACATCTGACTATGTCCTTCATATTTCAGGGTTTGTTTCAATTGCAGGTCATAACGTAACGAAGGGCATTTTTCTGAAGTGAAGTCACATTTGGAGGTACTTGTATTTCCAGTTTTTATGCTTCCTTATGATTTAACTACATTTCATTTATTTCACTGCTGGATTCGACCTGCAGTTGGAGCTCCCGAACCAGAACCAGAGGGCAGACTGTCAGACCATGCTGCCATAAAATTTGAGTTTTTTTCAAATGGAATCTGGTGCTCGGAAACACTACCGCCTTTGTCCATATTGACCGCCAAAATCAACTCAAAATGAAAATTCATCGCAGTAGCTTTAATCTTTAAATTTTGAATACAGGATTTTAATTTGTAATTGAGTATTTTTATTCTGTGGCATTGCAAAAATTACCTTAGGAAACAAATCCACCAATCTTCATATGAATAAGGATCTAATGTGCACACGTTTGTATCTATCTTTCCAATGATATTGCTGTTGTCAGTCCTGTTTCAGTGGTTTGGTGTGGAAAGAGCAAAGCGACTGAATAGCTTAATTTTTTTTTTTAAAAGCCGACCACATTATAGAAAAACTTGGAGGAGATGAGCCTGTTGATAATTGACATTTTCCAGTGAAATGCCAGCATTCTAACACTGTACTGCAGTAAATGATGCACCAGCACACGTTTGTGTGTACACAACAGCCCACTCTCCCCAAAACAACACTTCAATCAAAAACACAAGGTAAGTCCACAAATAATTCATCCAGCTTTACCAGGTACCATTAACATCCAAGGCAGCATCATAGTATGAGTGTCACAGCCTTGAGTGTCAATTATGAATTTATGAATGCACCCATCAGCCTGCATGTGCGATAACCACACACATCCAAATGAATATCTTCTATACTTACTGATGATTGTTTTTGAATGTTGGATATGTTTAATGAGATCTGTGCGGTAAATCTGGATTTTTCTTTTTGTTCGGTAGGAAGCCCTTTTTAACCCATTTTTTTCTTTATTGCAAAGACAGAGCGGTGAACCGCCCACCAAATGTAATACTGTACATACTGTACATTTGACATACACTGTTTTGAAAAAGGAATGCATGCATTTTAGGATACATACATTACGTGTATCTACAATACTGACGCCCCTCACTCCTGACTGTTGGCTTGTTGCTCTCCAGCTGTAAGCAGCCAGCAGCAGTACAACAGTATTTAGAGCCAATAAAGAAATTGAAAAATGATGCTACATTTCATACGAACTCTACTCGCCCAGCTGATGACAGCTACGCATAATCTGTCACCGTGCGTCTCCCTGACGGAGTGATGGCACAAACGCGAGAAAAGGGCTGTATTTTCTGACACAAATGAGCAATTTGTGAGGCCATTGTGTGCTTCGTGCATCATTGTACTTTTTAATTTCCCAGACTCAGAAACCATTGTGGGGAATGCAATTGTGTTGTCGAGTGTTTTTTTTTTTTTTTGTTGCTTTCTGTGGGTTTTGTGTTTTTTTTGTGCAGCTTTTGAAACGAGTCCACACGTAGGCTACACACACGGATATAAGCGAGCACACACACGGACATTTATTTTCAGTCTTTTTGGGGATCTTGAATGTAACCTGTGTTTGTCTGTGTTCCCTTTCACATACATCTAGGCCAAGTCCAAGGCCTTTCATGCAAGACTGTAGTAGTTTAACAAAGGCAGTGACGACAGTGAACAGTGGGGGTGGCAAGGTTGACTGTACCACTCTACCAGTTTACAGTCAAACGCAGCGTTCGGCTCTCTAAGCTTAGCTTAGCACAAAGACCGGAAATAAGGAGAAACACCACTAAAAGCGCACTAATCAACTAGTCAGATCTTGTTTGTTTTATTACTATTTCTTGTTTGGAGAGGTGAGGTTGCCAGCTAAGAGATAATCCGGCACGTAGGCTACTCTGTAAAACCAAACTTGTTGTTTTTCCACTTCAGTTTTTGTACACGTAAAACAAACAAGACACAAGTGATGAATTTGAAATTCAGACCAATAATACAGCTACACACTATTTGCTGTGTATGTTAGTAATGTCTACCTGAGCAGAGAATGGTGACTCTCAATATGGTGACAGCTGAGCCGGCGGCTAGAAGCTGAAGGTGCTAACATGCAAAAGTGCTGACAGAGACAACAGTGTATACCTGAGGGGGGACCGGGGGGTGGGTGCTATCTTACGTGACGACGCAGCTGCTCTGGACATTATTAGCTGTAACCTCCGTATGAGCGCAGTGCTGTGCGGCCGCCATGAGCTATCATGTGGGGCACGCTAACATGTACCACAAAGCATGCGCACCTGGCCCGGCTATGTCAACAAAGCAAGGAGAAGCTCGGATTACAACACAGAGAGAGGGAGAGTGACTTAATTCTCTACTCAGATAGATATTACTCCACTACATCTTTACATAGCAAATATCTGTTTGTGGTTATAAATGCTCTGAATGTCGAATTTGGCCCCTTTAACACCGTTAGCTCTGTCAGCGCTGTGGCTGTTGTTTGCACTGTTTGTGTTGTTAGCACTGTTAGCTGCTTTTCGCCAGCTCAGCCGTTGCAATGTTGAGAGCCGTGTGGAAGCAATCCCTCAATCAGAGATATACTCAGAATTTTGAATTCAACACCTTTAATTAGCTTTAGAGGTGCTGGTATGCAGTATGTGTTACCATTGGACAGAACCCAACTAACTGTTTCTCATCTTTAATTTAATTTAATGAGTGTATTTGTCTTTAGCGAAGAGAAAAAAATGCACCACAAAACTCAGATTTGACGAATTAATGTGTTTTTGTTGTAAAAAGAATCCCAATCACAGCTGAAATTAAAACCTATACAAGCAAATTACGTTACATACAATATGAACACTTGCCAATCAGATGTATTAAAGTCTAACTCTCACTCATCATTGGATGTATTGTAGGCAAACGGTCTCAAATGCCAACTGTAGAAATGAACACTTGTAAGTTTATGTAATAGAACGTCCTCATACATCGACACAAACAACAACATATGATTATTGCATCCACCAAATATCTAAAACACACTCAGCCAAGGAATGTAAAAATGGTGTGACATTTGTTAGATGAAATAATAGATTAATGGTCTCCCATGGGGAAATCTGGATAATGTTTCAGTTTAGTGTGAATTTTCTTTTTTTTCAGATGTTTTGCACGACCTGCTGTTATATTCAATTTTGACAAACAGTGCAGTGCTCAGGCAACATGAAATATAATCATTCATTGGTTTCAGATGCAGACACGCTGCAGAGCTGTCAGTAATAGCTAGCATATTCTGTTTCTGCAGTCATTGGCCCGGCCAACTCTACCTTTGTGTCTGGCATTGCTAGATTTTACTCAGATAAAAAAATATCTGGCCCTGCAGCTGCGCAAGGACTCCCTCTTCTATGTTGCACAAAACGACTTACAGTTTTATTAGAAATACGAATATCCGGTCACAATGTGGAGCTGATCTGAAAGAAGTCAATAAATACCTTTGTTATTCTCTGGATGACAAAGCACAGTTTGTTTCTATTAGTGGTTCGGTTTCATGAGCCCACTGGGGCGAACCCAGAGAGCAGCATGCAATCACTTGAAATCGTGGCGCTCACCAAAATTGGAACGTTCTACCATGGCATCGCAGTATGCAGCTTTGAATTAGGGTTAGGGTTAGAGGGTTAGGGTTATACAGTATATAAGTAGCAGTAACCATTGAACATATATAATTCATTCTTTTATCTTTAAAGCAAATGCGTTTTGGAACTGAGAGTGTAAAACCACAAATAGCACTCTGAATGTAAAATCCCAACATATTGGAAACATCTGGGAATGTCTCACTTGCAGAACGTGGGCTTGTTGTATACTCACAGTGTCTTCTCGTCATTTTGACAGACTGATATATTTTCATAGAGTTGAATATGACAGCACAGTTTGACAAAAGTAGGTCCAAACATCGTTACAGAGAGAGACCTTCTAAATCTATAATTCTGTCTCCGCAGTTCATACAGAGTTCCCTGTAAGCATGGCAACCACTCCAAATATCACACACACACACACACACACACACACACACACACGCACCACAGTCAGGTTCGTATACACCTCTGCTCCCAAACACACAAACAGATATACACAACTCAAACTTTAAACTCAATTATGCAAAGAATCTTCACTTTACGACTTAAATCAGTGGAACGTAAATGTATACGGCTGTTTGGCAGGTAGATTTAGTCTAAAAATGTCACTTCTAGCCATGAACTTGGAAATAGCAGAAATGTCAATACAAGTAATCTGCATTCTTAATTACATTTTGAGGGAAACAGTTTCAAACACACATTTTTGTTGTAAGGGAATGTCATTTTTAGGAGACAATGGGTCAATGACTTGAAAGACGAGTAGGCAGAACAGATTTCTCATGTCTAACCGACGA